CTCTCTCTTCTCTCTCTCTCTCTCTCTCTCTCTCTCTCTCTCTCTCTCTCTCTCTCTCTCTTCTCTCTCTCTCTCTCTCTCTCTCTCTCTCTCTCTCTCTCTCTCTCTCTCTCTCTCTCTCTCTCTCTCTCTCTCTCTCTCTTCTCTCTCTCTCTCTCTCTCTCTCTCTTTCTCTCTCTCTCTCTCTCGTCTCTCTCTCTCTCTCTCTCTCTCTCTCTCTCTCTCTCTCTCTCTCTCTCTCTCTCTCTCTCTCTCTCTCTCTCTCTCTCTCTCTCTCTCTCTCTCTCTCTCTCTCTCTCTCTCTCTCTCTCTCTCTCTCTCTCTCTCTCTCTCTCTCTCTCTCTCGCTCTCTCATCTCTTCTATCTCTCTCTCTCTCTCTCTCTCTCGCTTCTCTCTCTCTCTCTCTCTCTCTCTCTCTCTCTCTCTCTGCTCTCTCTATCTCTCTCTCTCTCTTTCTCTCTCTCTCGCTCTCTCTCTCTCTCTCTTCTCTCTCTCTCTCTCTCTCTCTCTCTCTCTCTCTCTCTCTCTCTCTCTCTCTCTCTCTCTCTCTCTCTCTCTCTCTCTCTCTCTCTCTCTCTCTCTCTCTCTCTCTCTCTCTCTCTCTCTCTCTCTCTCTCTCTCTCTCTCTCTCTCTCTCTCTCTCTCTCTCTCTCTCTCTCTCTTCTCTCTTCCCCTTGCTTAGTCTGTTCTAAAATTAGAGGGTATCCAAATAAGGTAAGATCTATTTGCAACCACTTATTTGGAATAAAGCTTGTAGACTAATAGTAAATCTGGAAGGAAGGGAAACATTGTCTTAGAAATGGATAAGAAGATCCATAAAGGCGGACCTTATTGTCTCTTAATACAAAAGATGGGATGTGTGCTTTTATTCAGTAATTTGATCATGGTTCCTATGCACAAATGAATATGTCTTCTGTTTGTTTAGAAAAGATGATTTGTGGGGGCTAAGATATACTATTGTTAACCCTAAGTAACATAATATTCCTACCGAAACATATTTTTTCTCAGAAATAATTTGGTTGAATTTCTTCCACAGCCAAAAGGAGATGCGATGGGATGAATGTCCAGTGGTTGTTGAAATCTCGCCTCTCGTGTCCTATGCTGGTGAAGGACTGGATAAGCTCGTGGCCAACAAGAAGTTTACGTGTCCGCTCAGTCTCAGCGAACCAGCAAAGAAGATTGAAGCATAAGAAAAAGCCTACCTTGTGAACCTTTGTCAATATTCTCTTTTTGACATCTGCAATTTCACATCTCGAGCAAAAAATAATTTTTCACGTGAAAAGGAGCTTGTGTAAATTCCAAATATCATTAGCATCTAGTGAGAATGCTTTAGCTAGACGTATACATTGTGTGTTTTGGCTTGAATGGGAAGCAGTGTGTTCTGTCACATTTAGATCGCTCAATCACAAAATCTCTAAACTGTTAGCTGAGGATATGCAACAGAAGTTGCAGAAGTAAATGTTACAAATAATTGTATACAGTTACATTCACTTGAATTGGCAGAAATGTGATGTTCATTTTCATATCATGCATTCTCATAGTGAATAATTCTGATTGCATTTCCAGTATTATGTGGCAGATTAATCATAAAATTGAAATGACTGATGTTTGGAAATTGCTGGTGATGGTATTTTGATTGCTTTGCAATCATAGCAATTATTTGTAACACTTGATTACTTTTTGTGCATTTTAGATGACAAAGTTTTAACTATAACTGTCATCAATTCATTGGGTAAAAGAGGTTATTTATAGGTATTATTTTTTTAGATTTTAGTTGGCTGCAAATTATCTTGTGGTTATAGGTAAGGGAATTGGTTCATTCTTGTGCCTTACATAAACATTGAAGTCATGCATTATAAAAAAGAGTATTGCAAAGTGTATTACATGATATCATCTTCATTTCATTATCATCAAGATTCATAAGATACTGTACTTAAAGAGAAAAACAAAAAATATAACTAGGTTTTAAATCTTCACTTCGGATAATGAAATAATACATGTGGCAGTGAATTGGACGTCATTGGACTAGCACAAAAAGTAAGACATAAAGAATTTTATCTAAGAGACAAATAATTATATTATCATAGGTTTTATCTTGAAGACCATACACATTTTTTCTGCAATGGAATTCTCATTTTGAATTATCATTACATAATAATATCCCGTGAGTTTTCTTAGTGCACCATCAACATTGATTGTTTTTTTTAACCATGACAGATTTTTATACATATGAATTGTATAATATTGTTATTTTATGTACAGCTTCTGATATATACTTTGGTGTAAAGTTCTCTTTTATTGTTTGTATCACCAGATGATTTAGTGACATTCCAAAAGGTAGAGGTATACAGTACATGAAGACCTTTTTGTCATATATAACACCGTAAATTATGACTCATGGCCTATAGAGTTTTTATGTGCATAATACTTGTATAAGGAGAAACCAAAGGTACTATTTTCACCTTTGTACCCTCAACGTTTTTCACCTTTGCATATATTAAACATAACAGAAGTACAAAGAAGTCTCCTGCATCACAGGTAAAGGAGGTATAAAAAAAGCTGGTTGTACACAGTGTTTTGTACTGTAGTAATACCTTAGTATTTTTGTTGTATAGTGTGGCTAGTAATGGAATAAATCTCACTTTGCATCTTTTATAGTCATTCTATACTGGGGAAATGAGAAATATGAAGGCTATGTTGTGACAACGTTCAGCCATTATAATTGTGTGGAAAGTCAAAAAATCTTACACTACAAGCAATATGTTACTTATATGGCTTCTGTCATAGGATACCTAGTTCTTTTTTTAAATATTCTCCAGCAAGGTATAAATACGAGTGAAGGGGCAACCAGTAAAATTTTAAACACATTAGTTATAGAAACACTTGTTACAGCATCTATTACTACAGCCATGGGAACAAGTGAGTAGCATTTGTATTTTGAGAGCAAGTTTGCAGGTGTTATATGTATGGTTGAATAACATGACTGTGTGCACAAGTGATTGTAACTGTTTTAGTCAGCTCGTAATTCTGCGTTACAAGCACTACAGTTAGGACACCTTCCATTATCCATTCAGTATTTTTTTGTTACTTACAAAAATCTCTGGTACTTACCTATTGGAATTTTATTATTTTGCAAATGGCAAAAGTAAAAATGTATTTAGTCCTGTGTGTACATATCTTTTAAATGGGACATTCTTGTTTTTCTTATTTTTATAGAGAAATAATGACTTAACTATTCATATTTCTAAAACTGGTTGTATGTTGAATAATTATCCATATTTTTTAGTTTCTTACTTTGTTAAATGATTCTATCTTATTCACCTGCAGTGTCACCATTCTTTATTTACTGCAAACAAATAAACACAAGAAAGTGTAGTGTGGATATAATTATATATATATATATATATTTGATTTTTATCAAGAGGACCATCCAGTTTTTCAACTACATACAAAATTATCAGTATCAGAGGTACAAGAATATTTTGGGGAGTGTGATTAGCATACCATGTGTACCAAGGCCAAAAAGGCACTTTCATTTTGTTATGTAGTAGAATCAGTGTGCAATATCGCTTGTGTATTTGAAGAAAATATAGGAGTCTACTTGTGAATTCACCACATTAGAAATACAGTGAAGTCAAGACAGTCAATACCAGTTGTTAAAAAAATGGTTATATCTAATATAAAATGGTTGTCATGAAATCATTGTATTGATTTTTGCCTTATAGGCAAGTGATTTACTGTAATCTTAATTAAAATACAGATTGCCCGTCGTCTTTCCTTAACTTTCTTCCCTTCATTTATTTTAATACCCAGTAATGAAGTTATTATACAAACAAGAGCAATATCTTTTCTTTCAAAATTAAAATCCATTAGCAAAGTTTTTAATGTAATTTTATAAAATAAAAAACCTGAACCTGAATCTTTGAGCCACATACTTCCACTGTGATTTTGCTTTTTCAATTTTGTTTACACACAAGTTCTTTGTCATTAAGATGTCGGTGAGTCTACCTAATCTTGTCACTCAACCCTCTCTCTCTTTCCATCTCCTCCTCCTCACTTACTTTTAATATCGTTATTACTGTCGGTAAGACCATAATGACATACATAATAGCAATAACAATAGTAATAGTAACCGAAATAAAACCTTTTTTATCTGAAAGCTCAAGGAGTGGGTTAACCAGGTAGACCTACTAATTAACTCCTTTGTGACTGAGCACTTTAGGACTTATTTATATGTGAAGAAAATGAATAAAATAAAACCACAGTTGGCAGAGGATGTACCCGGCATCAACTGGTCAGTTAATGAATGCAACTATACATGAGAACTTTTTTGCACTTCTTGCAACAAAAATCACTATCTAAATAAGAAATCTCCACAAATAAAGTTCATGATATAAAAAGTTTGCCTAATATCCTATCTATTCTCTTATATGTAAATAATAATTTACTTTTGATTTTCTCTTATTTAAATAACAAATCACTTTAAAAGTATCTCCTCTGTGGAAAAATTACTATAATTGTACAAACATTTTGTGTTGAGAAATTACAAATGGCTTGGGGTTAATTTTTCTTTCCTTTTTGGAGTAATCTGAACAGAGAAAAAGACAACATACATTTTTATAGATATAATGTAAGGCTTTTCCTTGTAGTGCCAAAGAAATTGACATATTTCTCTGAATTTCTTCAGAATGTTTCCTTAGTCACTTAGGAACCATGTAAGTATATATAAATTTTCAAAATGTGTTTTTAATTTTAAAGGACTCGATGACTTATCTTAGAGAAAAGAGGACCTGTGGTCTGAACATTTTGGATATAAATTTTGGGTCATGTAAGAAGCTGACGATGCAGAAAGAAGCAAAGATGGGGGGGCGTTCAGTGATACCTGAGTAGTCATGATCCTTCGGCCGGAATCGTATGAACTTGTGGTTTCAAAGTAAATGCTTAAAAGAACTCAGAACTCATTCCTTAAAACTAATATGGGGATCCAGAAAACTCAAAATCTTAAATTACATTTATTAGTTTCCTGTTCCCACAAATATAGAGCCAAGTAAATCTTTCTCTTCTAAGTGCTTCTTCTTTCTCTTTTCTTCTCTGTTTAGCTTTTTGGCTTTAATCTTATTCTTAAAGTATTCATCCTTCTTTTTTCTGCTTTCCTTCTTCGATAAAATTTCATCTTCAGTCAGCTTTTGCTTAAATACAAAGCCAAGATTATCAGCTTTCTTTCTCTTCTTTGTATTGTTTTCTTCCTTATCGTCCTCTTTTTTATCATCTGCTGATTCTGTTTTACTGCTTTCCTCAGGTTTCCCATTCTTCTTCATGGCCTTTTCCTTCTTCTTTTGTTTCTTGCTGATCTCTGAGGCCTTAATGAAATGGTCAGTTTCACGTCGAACTTGGGAGATTTCTGCTGCCATGCGTTGCCGGTGAACCTCTCTCTCGTACTCAAGTCTCTGTTTCAGATAGGCCCATTTAAATCTGAAAATACAAAGTACACAAACTATAGTACACTATCCTCTATACCAGTGTTGTCCAAACTGGGTCCGCGTACTCCTGGGGGTACGCAACATAGTTCATAAGGGTATGTGAACAAACAAGGAACAGACACAGACAGACAGACAGACAGACAGACAGACAGACAGACAGACACACAGACAGACACACACACACACACACACACACACACACACACACACACACACACACACACACACACACACACACACACACACACACACACACATTCGAATTTACTGATCAACACTCCTGGAATGCAGTCTTTTCATAATTAGTATATTATTTGCCATGGAAGATGGAGGGGGGGTGGGGGGTATGTAATAGTACAGGAAGGTAATAAAGGGTACAACAGGCAAAAACGTTTGGACAACACTGCTCTCTACAAACTTTATCAATATTAAGTTACAGTAGTCAGTTAGGGAGCCAGAGATGACGATAAAGAAACAGTAAGGAGCAATGAATCACCTGGGGAGATACTTGATATTCCAGAGCATGTCATAATAAGGATTCCGCCTCTTTCCCCTGACTGGCTGGTTATTTAAGAGGAGCTGCACGGCCTTGGCTTTTCTCTTGCTCTTGAATTCTATCCACCCCTCTGTGTAGCGCTGTCTTTTCTTTTTCTTCCACTTCTCGGTCTTTTTCTTTTCTGTAAATAAAAACGCTGGATGAATAGCTGGTTCATTCTACTGGGAAATTCAAGAGGTTAACAGTACATAAAAGGATGAGGAAGCAGAGAGAAGACCGGGGAAAGACAAATGTTGAGAAAAAGAGAAACAAAGAAAAAGGAAAGGGTTCTTTTCTGTCATGACAAAGAGGAAATTACAGAAGATTTGAATCTGAAATACAATCCGCTATCATTATATTTGAATACCATAATACCAATAAAAAAAAGAAAGAAAAAAAAAAGTCCAATATCAAAATTCATTCTATACTGAAGAAATAAAAAAAGAAGAAGAAGAAAAAAAAAAATCAAGCTCATTAAGCTGCAGTTTCATGAGTTTATGATTACACCAAATTACTATAAACACAAATACAGCCAAATACAAAGCTCACACCCCAAAGGGCACACGGATAAAGGCTGCAGAAGCTTTGTCAGTCCTCCTTAACAATGCTATTTAAAATAAAATGGAATATGCATGGGCCTGCCACTTTGGTTTTACTTACAGCGCCCTCAACCAACTTTTAAAAGACACCATATGAATCACTCACATTCATACTTGCCACAAAAATAAAAAAACCAAGTAACACACAAAATGGATACCTACATACTTCCAGTTTCTTTACAGCCTAAAGCCAACATGTGGCACTCTCATATACAGAAACAATATAAGAAGGAAGGGTGCTGCTAAACCGCCAATAGTGATAATAGTGAAATGATGCATTATCTAATGTACTTTACATTCAGAGTCAGCAGCACAGCAGACAATGCAAAAAGACATGAATACAGTCCCTTTACAAACTGATACATTTTTGAACCTTCTGCTTCAAAACTGCAGGTGTTTATGGGCCTTTCACTCACACATTAATAAGATATCGGCTGCAAAATAACTGCTGAATCCAAGCTCTCAAAAACTTTGAGGTTAAGCCAAGATTGGTGTTGTCCTTTTTCGAGGCAATGCTTTCAGTGTCCTTACCACCTTAAAAGAGGGCAACTATTTTATATAATATATATTTCAAGCAAGATTATTTGAACTTGATTTTCTTCCAACTTCCTATGAGACAATATTTCTCCTAGGTAATCTGTGGCCATAATCATTTGAAATATTTGATGGATCCTCTTTCTGTTATTTCTAGCAAACACAACCTTTCATGGAATATATAGCAATATATTCCATATATTCTCATTTCCTTACAAACGACAATTCCATATATCTATACACTGAACTTTACCAAAAGATGTATAAGAATGAAATGATTAAAAGAAGCATACCATAACCACAAACTAAAACTAAGATAAAGTTATATCCTTAAATTCCAAGAAAACATGGATAAAATTTTAATATAAAAAAATTTAAGTTAGTCCTATACAGGCATGGACATTTGGAAACAAGTCCAAACAGGACTAAAAGCTAAAATCTGTGAACAGCCAACAAGTTTCAAAGATCATCACACACATTTTCAGGAAAAATATAAATAGAATGAATCCACTTACATCCCCCCTGAAAAAAATCAAGAATCCATTGTTTCATTTCTGACGCCAACTAAAATTCACAGCGGCCATCTTGGAGTGGGGTTATGTTTGTAAAGCAAACTTGAAGCTGAGAGAAGTAGAAATGTTACTTTTTATGATCATGTGTGACATATGCAGGTTGATTTGGTAGCTTTTAAAAAAACTGTTTTGTGTTGTTTATGCAACTGAAGGGGAGGGTCTGCCTGGGATATCATGAATAAGAAAGAAGTTATTTTGGCAAGATTCCTCTGTAAGTTCCAGAAGCTTGGAAGTGAATTTTGCAAATATAAAGAAGAGACAGCATATTTTGTCTAACCAAACACTTGCACATCCCCCATAATGTACACATCACAACCTAAATGATCCCTCTGCAATGTGTTTAGATGCTAGGTAAGTGTTGCAAAGTAACAAGCAATCATGTAGTCATTTAGCAACATTATATGGAGGTTAAATTGGCAGCTTAATTGTTGTGCTAGAATGGGTATGAAATACATTAGAGAATGGGTTAATAACAAATATTATTTTTCTTATATCATGGAAACAGAAAATCATATGCAACTATTGGGACCTCCATACCATCACTCTCCATATATGGATGATATACCAAGGTTCATGCCCAAGGGAAGTTTTAAGGATGCAAGCACCTAAGATGATAATGCTCGTATCAAAGAATTGCTATTCATACTCCACAATTTCCCTGGAATATCTTATGTCTTCCCGTCTACTAAGCTTACTACTATAACTATTGTCGTCTTCCCTGGAATATTATTTAGTGTGCACTAAAACGCATACTAAAACGTCACATTGAATCCATCAATATCAAATGCAATAAACTTTAATATACAGACATATTCTAGAAAATAACCAAGTCTTAATATACTTTATTGTGAAAGCAGCCAGCATTGCCATATATATATCAATCTAAGATAGATTTTCCCTCAGTTGGAAAATGAATAATTTTTTGCAGATGCATCATAGCAAGCAATGAGAATGTATGGGCTGCGACCTGCAAGAAAGGACATTTATGGTGCAAACAACAGCAATACTTATTCACTTTTAATATCCATGTTCTGAAGTAACAATATTTATGTATGTGTTACTCAAGGGTGCAAGTAAAAATAATAATAGCTGTGACTCAAGACCAGTGCCACAGTGAGCATTTGCATGTTTTCCAACCTGGGATTTTCCCTCTTTAACTGTGATAACAAAAATTGGCTAGTGGCCAGCAATTTGGATTGCTGGCACACATCGTCAGTTTCCCACATTTCCACCCATCTCATTTGGTACTTCACGCACAATATTAGGTACCTGACAGCTTAAAGCTTCTGTATTTTACTAAATGTTCTAAAAAATGTGAAGGATTCTCAGTACCTTAATTGCCTGAACCTAACAATGACACCAAAACAAACACTGCTATTGTAGAAAGCTCATTAGTTCTGTAATAGTGTGGTGTATATCATGACGTGGTGCCATCTGCCACTTGGTTCACTGCCTGATCTCATGCCACCCGCAAATAAATGGTTATGCAATTACTGTGAGTGCAAGGCAAGCATATTTTCCATTCTGGCACGACAACACTTGTCTTGCCTTCAAAATACTCTTCTTATTCCTGCATATTTCCCAAATCTTCATTATCAAACTGATAATTTAAAGCCCAAAGGCAAAAAACCAACCTTCATTCCCAGCCTGCAGGAACATTCGATCTACCTCTCCAAAGTTCGAAAAATAATCCCTTACGTCCGCAACATTCATATTGGGAGGGATGATAGAGAGGTAGATAATGCCCGGTTTCCGTCTCTTGGTTGGTGGTTCGAGGTCTTCATCACTGAGGGTAGTATCGGCTGTAGAAGCTTGAGGTGCGTCTGCGTCGACCATCGTGGCCAGATGTAAACAATGTGCGGAGCAGGACGGGGGTGACGGGCGCAAATATTATGTTTGGAAGTACGAGCCTAAATGTTATACTTTGGCTATATAACTTTATTGTCGGTATTGTTATTATCATTATTATTGATATTGTTATCATTATTATCAAAATTATTATTATTATCGTTAATATTATTATTATTACTGTTAGTATTATTATTATCCTTATTAACATCATTATCATTATTATTACTATTATCATTATCATTATTAATATTATTATCATTATCATTATCAATACTATTATCATTATCATTATTAATACTATTATCATTATCATTATTATATATTATCATTATCATATCATCATTATCGCATATCATATCATTCCGTTGTGGCAGTTTAGCTGCTTTGTAATATTCAAAACAAATATATCTATTCTATGAGAAGGATAATCCATTTCTTTTCCCGAAGGCTCTCCATTCGAAGTGGATGAGGAATCAAGAATATTTTACAAGATCATTTGGAGAAATGTGTGGACCCGAGGAAAACAAATTCATTTTTGTTCCGTCGGCTTCAAAGACTAAAAAGTTATATGTCGAGATTCCACACGAAGAAACATCTCTGCAGCCTTTTTGACTTGTTCCCGACGTGTTCAACATCATGTGATTTGATAAATTTGATAATGGAACGTAAAGTTGCATCGAATAGCCTTCGTTCCATTAAACTAACAACGTGTTTTGTACAGGCACAACTGACGGACAGCAAAAGCAATTTTAGAGAGAGAGAGAGAGAGAGAGAGAGAAAATCAGCTGCATCCAGGAACCATCCAAAACCAAGGAAAATATTCCCCGAAAGCTGTTTGTTGTAACTTACATTTTCTTGAAACACAACATTCCTACTGTTACTGACAATTGCAATCCAGATGTATTTTACATAATGAAAGTAAAGAAACGTTTCGATGTTAGATCTTATTTTCTTTAGAATTCGAAGTTGGGAAAACCCAACTGAAACTCGTGCTTTCCAGCATAACATTCCTACTGTTACTGACAATTGCACTCCAGATGTATTTAACATAATGAAAGTAAAGGAAACGTTTCGATGTTAGATCTTATTTTCTTTAGAATTCGATAATGTCAAAAGACTGCATGCTTCTTTCCGACCCTGCCATGCATACATACGACAATTATTGTATGTGAAAGACCTGTATGAACACTTAATTCCAATGTTTGTTCTATTTAACACGTAATTATGATCACTTGAAGACTTCTTCCAACGCTGTGAAGTGTTGGTTCTTCATGTAATTGAGTGGGTAGGCGGGATTCAGTTAACTCCAGCAGCCATTTTTATATCCTTACCTGCGGTGATAAAAGAAATGATGCTTCTCTTCATTCTGTAATATACGCGAGGTCTATTAATTGTTGTGAAGAAGTCTTAAGGTCTATCACATTCGTTCCACACGTTAGACAGAGCATTACTGAATTTTGTGGATCAGCAGATTGATGTCCACACTCAGGCCTTGGAATCATAAAGGAAGAAATATAAAATCCAGATTAAGATGATTCGAGATTGCAGGGTAGACAAAGTTTTAATCAGAGCTTCAAGAATTCAAATGCGTGGCCAGTTTTCCAGGAATTTGAGATTTTATATACGTGTCAACTTCCAATGTCCTATATATATATATGAAAATATTTTGTCAGTTGTGCCACTACTTCATGTATAATGCTGCAAATCTGCATATTTATTATTATTATTATTACTACTATTGTTGGTCTATACTTTGATACAAATGTTAATTGAGGATTCTTCACATGGACGAAATCTTTTAGAAGTGGAATGAAGGTTGTGATTCTCAGTTGCATGTTATGGACCGTCCAAATAAATATTATTTCCTTTGTCGTTAATAAAACTTTCGAAAGATTTCCATGAATCGTCACAATAGCCTTCCCTATGTTGGTGAGAGTGTAATACAAGAATATGTAACTAAACATTCTTTGAACATTTAAGTAACTGGTGCCAAAACATAACATCCCCGTTAAAATATTTTGAATAGTCTGGACAAGCAAGCTTTTCCATTGACTGTTTTTAAACCTGCATTTTTCTCTAGTCACATTTTAGATCCTTTTGGCTACGATACAGTACTGCTATGCTCACTTCCTCACCTCCAATGAATGCTTGTTCCCTGCTAGGATCTAGGCACTAGAATGAAGAGTGTTGGGCGAAGGTAAACAAACTTCCATAGCGAGTAATGGTGGTTGTATTTTCCCTTAAAACCACAGGAATGAAAGTTCCTGTTTTGCGTCCGTACAAAGATGAAAATTGATGAGGCTGTTTTTCATTATTCATTACTTACTTCTACAAGCATTTAAAGAAGAGAACAACAGCTTTTCAAAGTCATCAAATCATCATCTTAGTTCTTGTGGGTAATCATGACACTTTTCATTCATATTTGCTAAGAAAAGTATTCTTTCTGGAAAGCATGGCAAGAAAACAGCTTTTCAATGTCGTCAAATCTTATTTTGGGGGGAATAAGGATATTTATTGAAAATAATTATTTTTTAGGCGGGTGGTGGACGCAGAACAGGAAAGTTCATGACAAGAATGGTTCTTTTTCTTAGCTTTCGAAGGCTAATGAACACTTGCCAATATCCTTCCTGTTTCAACGAAACTAAATGTATATTGCTTGAAAACTGAAGTGGTCTCATGTTGGCTCAGAAAGATGTCTCTTACAATTATCCTAGGGCATCATTGTGTGATTTCTCGGGGAAAAGATCTTGAATTCCCTTTTAAATTTGCTAACCTGTATTAGGCAATGTTTGTAATGGCAAATAAAATATACACGAATGATCGAACAATAATATATTTATATTATCTTATTTACACGCTTCTCGTTGATTCTCAGTTAATGGGCTACTGATGAGCCATCCATGAAAAAAGTTTCGTTAAATGAGTAATTTTTCCTGGAAACAGACATGTTCTTTCATTCATTAAATATGACTCGCTTGAGCATTCCAAATTTCACATTTTGTGTGATGTACACCTTAATACCCACATATTTCCATGCCTAGTTGGTCAACGAAGTGCTTGGGTGAACATGCTTCAACCTTGGTAGTAAATACAGACCCTCTGTTTTGAATATCCTTCAGTCTTACTGGGAAATAGTCCTTAGTTCTTGAATACTCTGTTAGTTAATGGCCTCCATGTTTATTCATAATTATTCATTAATCACCACGCAATTCATAAGACGACAGCATGTGCGTTCTGCATTGTGTCAGAGCATAACACCGATTCCCTTCGTCGTTGGCCTTGGGCCATCCCGTTGCGGTTGTTTTAAGCATCCTTTTACCCAGGATATTCTGGCCTAATTAGGAGAAAGAGTATCGTGTTAATTTCTCCGAACTCTTGCGCTCCGCCATCCTTGGTTCCTCGGTCGGGCGCGGTCTTGACTTTGTCTGCTGTGTGTATTTTCTGCTGTAACATTGCGTAATAGCGGCGCACTTTGTTCCTTCTTTCAATGCTTGGTCCCCGAGCGTTTTCAGGACTGGTGCGGCGGTATGCAGCCAGCCTCCCGAGAGTTCGCTGACGGAATTTGGCAAAAGCAGCGCTTTCGCAATCAGACCAGGTCTTACCTCGCTGGGGTCATTGCCAGATGTGCGGTTATGTATTCTCAGACATAATGGCTGTTGGCTAGTGCAATGACATCGCATGTTTTAAGGATACGAGTAGTTACTAATATACAGGAGTATAATTACAGTATATATGAAATGATTACTTTCGTTTATATTTTGAACATTGAAATAGAAAAGATTTTAGGTTTTAGAATGCAAGGGACAGTGAAGATCATTTGCAAAGTTCCATGTTTACGGCCAAAGAGTAGTAAAGAACTGGCACCGAACACAGGTAAATACTTTCATGAAAAAAAAAAAAAAAAAAACAGGTGGCCAAATTAATAAGCGTGCAAAAAGGAAGAGGGAGAAAAAAAACTGGTAACCGTCATTTTTTATTTATTGTTTTTTTTTTTTTCAAGTTCACCATAGAAAATATTGAAAAATTACCAAGAAACACGAGACCCTTTTTTCTACACCATTTTTTCCTACATTGCCCAATTTATTTGTTCAGATTATTCTTGAAATCCTCACTCCAGCTCCAGCTTCTCCTTATTAGTGAAAATTACAGTAAGCAACGAAAAACAGCAGTACCATATATTGTATCATTATCTAGGTAAATTCTGTGACATCTCTACTCCTAGCAGATTAAAACTTGGTGTTTCTCATGCAGTTTTTAAAGGCCTAAAATTCTACTTGTGGCACGCAAGAAGTCCAAACTCAATTACATGTATATAAACGCTTATATAAGTGTGTGCGTGTGTGTGTGTGTGTGTATGTGTATGTGTGTGTGTGTGTGTGTGTGTGTGTGTATGTGTATTTTATGTATGCACATGCACACATACATGTATGTATTATTCATAATGATACACCCTAAGAATATATATATATATATATATATATATATATATATATATATATATACCACACACACACACACACACACACACACACACACACACACACACACACACACACACACACACAACACACAAAGGATGTTCATAAAGCCTCTTTACAAAAAAAAAAAAAAAAAAAAAAAACAGTAGATGTGAAGAGACAAATATTGGTAATTATTATAAAACTAGTAGATATTGACTTTGGTCTGATTTTATACACTTCTAAATGGGCACCACTAATTGCGAGCTCAAGATGGTACTTGATTTCTTGCCATGCACGTTGCTAGCATATCCTCATCAATGATCGCAATGGCAGCACCATAGCTCAGGTGTCTTGGCCAAACATTGCACTCACGCCTCAGCACCAACTGAAATATTAACTCAACCTCTCAACCATGTTCTTTTCGCCTGTGTTGTGTAGGCCTACATCCAACAGCGGTGTACAGCGGTGTCCCAGACTGTAGAGTATTTTTCTTTCTGCGGGCGGATGGTGAAACAAGTGCGCGGAAAAGTCAAAAGAATTTTATGCGGGGAAGATAATAA